GAACTCATTCGTTCTACCGCACTCCATTCGATGTCACTCAAATGGGTAAACCCTTCACGCGTGGCGTGAAAGGTTTCTTCGTCATCCAACATGTTCATGTTGGATGTTGTGGTCCTTGGAAGGACTACAAAGTGCTACCAGGTGTAACGGGGCACACCCTAGCGTGAAATTAACGCAAGGGCTATGGGTGCCCCGACAGACGTACACGAGGCGAACGAGGAAGCGTAGGGTAGGGAAAAGTAAAACTGTTGTATTAATATAATTAAGTCTTTTTGCTACTGTCTCTCTGTTTCACCTGACTTTATTATGTTAATATAACTGAGTGTATGGTGACGTTTCGTCACCACTCATTGCGCGCGTCCTGCGGCGATTGGTGGGTTGAAATCATCAAGATATCAACCAATGAGCGGACCCTTTGGTCGCTTCACCAATATCACAATTATCGGTGATATTGTTCAAAGAATATTCAAGTTAATATTCTTTGTTGTCACTTTCTTATAAAGTGACACTTCCATGTAACGGGCTGCCCAGTTACACAATCGATAGCGACAGCTAGAGATTGGAAAGCAGATTGGAAGAAGGTGAAGACCGATTACATGAAGATTCGACTACAAATCCAATGAGCGGTGGATAACTACCGATGAGGTCTTGTACGGGATCGCGAACGCTCATCTTGACCAGCACAGTGGACGAAATATCCTTGGGCTTGAACGTTATGGTGTTGCACTTCGGCTGCACCACTACTTGAGGTTTCTTTCCGCCGGATCACGGATCACCCTTGAGCGACCAGTACTGTCCAACGTCCGGCCGCACTTTTCTTGGCATCATCGTACACATTATTGCGCACGGTCTAGACGAAATGGTCCACTCCGTCCCTTGTAGCCCCACTAGTAAACGCTCCGTATCCGTTTGCGCCACCTAAGATGGCGTCGGGCGATTACTGTTCTACATCCCAACCGAGTCGATGATTACTTCTGGCTACACTTTCCGACTTTAATCAATCGTTGAAATCCGGTACTCCACGATCGGAGGATGGAACCCTACCGCCAGAGTTCTTGGAATCACTGCAGAGCCGACAAGTGTTGTGCGGGAGAAATTGATGGCTTTGCCTTCCCGGTCTGCTACGTTTTAGCTAAAACGTAGCGAAACAGAAACGCATAGCTGTCGTTTACGCTAAAACATGACAAAATAGAAAGGTCCAGCCGTTGGTTCCTCCCGCAAGACACTGATCCACTCTGGTTTTACTTCCGCACACTTGTGCCTTTTTACCAGAGCTGACCGGCCCAACGGGTGGTGATTGCGCTCACCGTAAGTCGCCGGCCAAAGACGCACATGTACGTGGCATACTGTGATCCCAGTTCTTTTGCTTTGCACTTTGCTTGCGGTCAAGTAAAACTACACAAAAGCAAAATTTAGCAAGAGCAGAAAGCAGACCATCTGGGGTCTCCCTCTTACGAGTCGAGGCCTGATTCTGTTAACATATCTATGATTGTGTGTTTATACCATACAGATCTTGTGGCACAGTCCACCAGACGGGAAGAGCTGGTCGACGCCTGCCTGGTGCACACGCTGCGACCACAAGGGATTACTGATAATTGAGCAAACTGCGCAGCACCACTGAACACGATGATGCGTCTGCCCATTTGTTTGTTCGCGGTCCTGGTCGTCTTCTTGTGGCAACTTACGGATTCAACATCTGCAAGTAGTAACAAGGCCATGAATGGCGCTCACAGCTTTTCCACAGTTCCTCTTCGTGTGGAGTCGAACACGTCTGTCGCGCCGGAGCACGTGCATCCAGCTATACATGCAGTGGAAACAGCCGATTGGATCGACGAGGACAGGGGATTGACAGGCTTTCTGTCACGGGTGGCCGATGCAGTTGAAGAAGTGCCTATGAAAGCGAAAATGGTGGCGAACAAACACCCACTCGCGTTTTTGAAGTACATCAAGATTCACTCATTGTTGAGTGAACGGGAAATTGATGAAAGGCTAATTCAATGGTTTAAGTGTGTCGACGCGCACATTTCCGAGGGCCACCACATGGAAGACGATGAGGTCGTCGAACACTTAGTGACGATACTGAAAAACAAGATGATGCTGATACAATCTTTGGCTCGAATTCGACGCCGTCAAGCATGGAAAGAGCGCGTGGAGGGCTTAATAAGGGCTATGGCCGCGAGAGACAAAAAATCCTTGGATATGATGGCCAGGTTCTGGATTAAATCAAAAGTGAGGCCTGACAAAGTCTATCAATTGATGCCTATCTCATCGATGCCAAGACTTACAGGTGACGTCAGCAAACAAAAGGAGTGGCGCATTGTTAGAGCTGGACTAGAATCGTGGCTAGAGTTTGTTTTGGCGTTCAACGAAAGGAATCCTTTGGAGGCATACGACAGCGAATCTGTAGCTACATTTCTGGCGGACAAGAGGGGACTGGACGAGGCGACGGAAATCTTTGCTTATGTTCGAGGGTGGGTTACGGGGGAGACTGTTTATGGTTGGCAGAGAGAGCTTGCCGCGGCCCACCCTGAAACCGTGAAGCTCATGGTTCCGATGTGGAAGAAGTTGTGTGTGGAACCTTATGACGTCTACGAAATGCTACCCGTCGCAAAGAAAATTCGTGAATTAGGCATTGGAGACCCAATAAAGTGGCCTGCTATCTACAGAGAACTCAGCGTGTGGTTCGACTATATTGATGAGTTCGACTCGAAATGGTCTGATCAGCCGTACAGCAGATCGAGACAGCCTTTGAACTTTAAAGCGAGTCTCACCTTCGGCCCTAACATGTTTTTCATCGAAAAGCTTTCGGAAAGCAGCAACAAAAATGACGTGGAAAATTTTCTAAAGATGCTTCGAACCGTTGAGTCTGCAAAAAGAGAACAACTTGCCGTGAGTTTGCTGAGATTATTGAAGGATTGTCGTATTTTGTTCCTTAAAGCTCAATAGTCGAAGTCGTGAACTGAAGGGCCTTCATCCCGAGCATGTTTTTCACATGATGCTCATTCAAGGGGGACAAGATGTTAAGGATGCTGCGGTCGGGGAAAAGTCGATTCTTTGTGGAAAGTTGTGGCCAGTGGCTGAGTGTGTTTGGATTCTTTTGGTCCGATCCTTTCAGTCGCAAACGGTCGTACGCTTCGAGACGCGCAAGGTCACTCTCAGCAATAAGAAGCTCTTTGGCGCGGTACCGAATGATAACCTCCAGGATCTGTCGAGGAATCCAGTTGATAAAGCGGCTCCCAGCAAGGTCTTCTACCACCAACAAGCCTTGTTCACGAATGTGATACTGCTTGCTGATGGCCGGTGCCGCGGCGTGGAGACCACCCTCAACGCCGTTAAAGCCATATTTGGCGCCTGCCGACTTCGGAATCACAGTGTTCACCAACAACTTTGGTGGCGCTGCGTTCGGTCCATAGTGTTTGTACGAGTCCTCTGTAGCAAGAAGCGCCGTTTGCTCAGCCCGCACGCCTGCTGTTGCTGGAGCGCTTGTAGACACTGTGAACTCGGCGACCACTTTCAGACTTACCGAGCTCAATATGGCTACGCCGACAGCTGAGATGACAAGGATGTAATCAGGTTGTTGTTAAACGTACGATTGATTTGTGAATTAGAGGTACATCCGCAAAAAGGTGGAGATCCGTTAACGAGGAAGACGGAGCAGACCAATTGCTGCAAGTTTTGACGATTCATGGATGCTTTTAAGCTGGCCTTCCAGCAAGTTGAGTGCGAGTAGAACTTTGGGGCTTTTGACCTCCAATAAAGCAAGGAAGGCATCGAATTTGACACAGCAGTAAATGTTCATTGCGCAGGTACGTACCGCGTATTTTCTTTTCAGCGCATCGGTGGTGACTTGTAGCGTATTGTAGATTTTGCGCTCGTCCTCAGACATGTGCTTCGCTTTCCGATCACGACAACGACTGCGTGTGCATAACCGAATGCAATCATTTTGCACTTTTGTCACATTGTCTTGATTGTCACATCATACGCCCCTACTTTAATCGATGTCATAGCTGTAACGGGGCACCGACGGCTACGTACTGGACTACCAGTACGGAGTTAACCTTTCACTGACAACAGTGAAGGTCAGTGCCCAGCTAGGTGTAAACACTTACGCAGTGGAAGGTAACGACTAAGGTGAATACTCTAGTCGTGGTAAAAGTAGAACTGTTATTTAATACAATTAAGTCCTATCACTCTTGTTTCTCTGTTTGTCCTGACTTAGATATATTAATCTAACTAAACGTATGATGACGTCTACGCACCACCCATTGCGCGCGTCTCGCAGCAATTGGTGGGTTGATGCCATCGCAATATCAACCGATGAGTAGACCATTCGGTCATGCAACAATATCAATATACTTGGTGATATTCTCAAAAGAATATTCAACGTAATATTCTTTATTGTCATTTTCTCCTTAATGGCGATTTCATGTAACGGGCTATCCCGTTTCAATAGCCACATTGGTCAAATGTGCATGGTAAATGCGCACGGCAAACTGGATTGACTTTTTTTCTCCGCAATACTACGCCTCGTGCTAATCTTAGCTGGTCTGACTATATCGGTCAGATTAGGAAATACATACACGTATCTCGAGCAGTTTCCAGATAAGTGCCTGTGTTTCCTTAAGCGGTGTACCCAAATCGAGGAGTGTTGCTCGAACATTCAGTGCTGTAGATGTGCTGACTACACCTACATATATCCTACAAAGGCGGTCACGTCGTTTGATCGTTTGGCCATGTTCTCGACTCAGGCCTTCCACCATCTGTCTCAAAAGCTGACTTGCAAGTTTAACGCACCCGACACAAGATAGGACTACCTACATGCACATCCCCTACAACGTAGGTCCTACTAGTGTAACGGGGTGAGCCTGTTACATAATCTTATCATGTGGGACAATATGATAACAGAGAATATGATGCAGTCGTTGCAGTGGATGGGGTCGCGTGCATGAACGCCCGCAATACGCGCGTGCCGGTGCTCAATGACGGACAGTGTACGTGTGTGTAGCTGGAAAAAGACGAGTGTGGTGCTGCTCCTGCCGAGCTGCGTTTAAGACTGGTGATACGGTTTATAATAACGATGGGATTCAAGCAACTTTCACTCTGAATTGCCAGCACCTACTGTGAGGGGTTATAGTAGGTTGCATCGTGCTCATAGAAATTGCGTTGAGAACCATCATAACTAGAACCAGAACTTGTATCGATGTGATGCGCTTCAGTTAATTAAAGTGTGGCTGCATCATGATTCTCAACATGAGGGGCACTCCTCAAGAGTAGCGTGGTGGGCACAGGATGCAGCTGAAGTGAGCTTGGATAATGTGCTGCATTGACTTGAGTATACTGGGACGTGGGGCACTTTTTTATTTTCCCCATTTTTAATTTTGTTTGGTCATTTATGGTCATTTGTGCGGTCACGTCGTTTGTTTCTGCTGTGACTTTTGGATCTGAGTCATCTGATTAACCAGAAATGGGGGTGTGGTACATATAACAAAAGGGGTTGGTACGGATAACACTGGCCTTTTTTTTCAGTTTGGCCGCCGAAAAAAAAGCTACAGGTTAAAGGGGGTGCGCACCGTATGTAAAAAAACTGGTGAGTTTTCGATGAAAGTGCGAACGACGAAAATGGCTCTCGGGCATCTGTATGAGGTATAGAACCACACGCGATTGAACGTGCACTTCGAATGTGCTCAGAATCTCGAGTTGAAACGAGTGAGTCAATACAATACCAATCACTGAGCTTGTATAGCTATTTTACTTAGAACACTATCAGTAGTTTCTTGACTTTTTATCCGAGCGGTTGAATGCAATTCGCAATATGGCCATCATCTCGAAATTACTCAAGTACGTGAGCGTACAGGGTCATAAGCAAGCTTTACGATGATGCTATTGCACATTCTGGCGAACGCGGTATTTTTACTTGCTAGTGACATTTACCTGACAATGTCTGTTGTCGATGATGCTCAAGTAATTTTTACCGAATCAATCGTCTTCGAGTTTTTTTTATCAGATCAGGCGCTTCATTAGAAAGTTGTGACTGCGTTCGATTCTTTTTCTTCTTCTTGTGAAAGAACCGAACAAGAATATATCATCTTTTCGAACGAAGCTACGAAAAAGGACGTACTGGTCGGTCGCCACGCTTTCGCGAATGCTGTGGTCGACAGAAGGACGGCAGTTCAACAGACCAGTCTTTTTGTACTCAAGTTTGCGCTGGTGAACGCGACGCCGTAGTACAGTCAGTATTCCGCCGCACATCCTTTGCGTCGCCTATCGTTTTATGTGAAAAGACTCGCAAGACTGATGCATACAACTGGACGGGTAGACACCAACTGATGAACAGGACAGGACTGACGTGCCACCATATGACTGGTGAAGGTTGACATGGCTGACAAGCTGCGACGAAGCAAGTCCTTGGCACCGATTTGGCACCTACCTGTTCGAATCAAAGCACCCTCCGTCTTTTTTGACAATGCGCTAGTCTACAAGCCGTACGGAGTCGGTGACGTTTGCAAGTCAAACGTGTAATTGCCAGTCATCTTGCACGGCGGCATGTGCAAGCCGTAGTAATCATTGATCGATCGTTCAAAGAATCCCAGCTTACCTCACCTTCTCATCGTTACCATCTGTACGGAAGCTCTTCAACTAATGACGACAATTGACAATGCGTCATGATTACGCCTGTAGTTGTTGCGTTTATGAATCAAGGCAGTAGGAGGCGCCGTGGTGGTCCACCAAAGTAGTTCCATACAAACACCTGTCGGTCCCACGAACAGGAAGCCACGAGGCCGTCAACAAAGAGGCTAAAGTCAAACCCGCACACGAATTCGCTGTGGTGCTGCGCGTTCTGGAGTCTCGGGTACGGAGACCTCGTATTCCAGATTCCAACAGACATGTCGTACGACACTGACGCAATCACGTCTCGATCATATGGCGAGCACTTGATCTTCTTTACCGCGTAGTTATGTCCTGTGAGCACACGCACTTCACGAGCTGAGTGTCGAATGTCCTGCAACAGCACACAAGCCACAACCCAACGTGTGAATGGATCCGATAGAAACTGACCCCCTGCATCTCACGCACATAGACGACAATGGAGCCATTGGCCGATCCAGCCACGAGTTCAAACTGGTTGTACTTGTTCCAGTCAAGAGCGAGCACCTCAGTGCTCTGTGGTCCAGTGACCGTCGTGACGGACCGTTCACAGTTGAGGTCCCAGATCTTCACGGCACCATCCCCCGAACACGAAGCGACGAGCGAGTTATCCTGCGTGTTCCACACTGCATTGTATACGGCACGAGTGTGCTCGGCAAGGGTGCGCACTGAATGCGGTACGTCCGGTCTCCAGACCTTGACGCTGCCGTCCCACGATGCCGACGCGAACGAGTCTTTTGCAAGCACGTTCCAATTCACGCCACACACCTCTTGCTTGTGCTCGTGGTAGTTCTGGATCGGAAACGGATCGCGCGTTTGCAAGTGCCAGAGCTTTACCGACCCGTCAGCACAGGAGCTCACGAGTTGCTGTCCGTGGTTCTCACTCCACGCGCAGTCGTACACACCCTGCGGTGTGTCGAACGCCCGTATCTAGAGCACACTCGTGAGTATCTCACCTGCCTGCGACAAAGTGTTTTTTTCGCAGTCACATGGCCACAGCGTACGCACTTCTCACCGGACAGAGCCTTCCCGTCGGCAGCAGTTCAGCTACAAGTTGACGCCCATTGCCGACGATTCCAAAGTACTGCGCAGTGCCAATGGCTATCAAGTTGTCCACAAAGGGACTGAATTCCACCTACTCGGTCCACGCAGTCCATGCAAAAAAACAAAGACGACACGAACACACACACAATGTTAGAGCAGTTGTTTTTTATAAAACCAAATGCTTCCAGCCGCTTGTTGGACGCAGCCATTATTTCATTGACTGGTGCGTTCCATTTCTACATTGATCGATTGACCACATACCGAGTAGCCGTGGAATTCTGTTTCCATCTGTCGTGGCTGATGAAACATGATGGCGAATGCAGCGTCGAGTCGTCTGCGTGAGAAACAGTGAATAATTAGTGACAGAAGGCATGAACACAAACTGATCAAAATGAGCGTTTCTAACCGGTTGTTTTTTTAGTACCGAACGAATGGGCCGTATTTCTTTCACATTGTTCGAAACATTTTCACGCTACTTCGTTCCGAAAAAAACTCCATCCGTCTTTGCTCGTCAATGAAGTGGCTCGCGCTGCAGCTTTTATCGCTCGCTGTCGCTGCGAGTACAATCGCGTGGTACGTGATGGACTCACCATTCATTCATTCGTCTCCGTACCTTATTCTGAGTCACCTCACTGTTTCTTGCTCGTGGTGCAGTTTGAACCTCGCGGGGCGGCAGCTTACAAACATCGAGTCTATTGTCGACCCATGGAGCAAAGAGCTCGTGTTTCGCTTCTACAGCGCCGACACCGTCGTCGCGACAGTGTCGGCCGCTGCTCTCGGTCGAGAGACGGATTTGTATCTACACAACAACACGCTGACGGGTGTTCCTGGCTCGCTCTTTCGTGCAGCACACAATGTCGTGTCCATGTCGGTGCTTTTTTCTCTTTTTAGTACTGTTTTTATTGTTTAAATGCTGTTTTTTTCGCTGCTGTGTGTTACGTGTCAATTGATCAAGTGAAGCTCATAGTGCTGCGCGCTCGTGTGTTTTGTGTCATAATGTGTGTGTCCTATTATAATGGAACCGGCAACGAACTTGCAGCGACATTTCAAATAATCCGTTGGCGGAACTGCTTCCACAGTCGTTTGCCAACATGCCGCGTCTCCAAAAAGTCACGTACGTGTTCTACAGCTGGATTCTGCTGGCTGCCAAGGTGTGGACGACTTGTATCACTTTGCTCATGTCATGGGTGCGTTTTTTGCGCCGTACAATGTGCAGGTGCACGAATACGCAGATCACAACGATACCCACAGGCTTTGCTAGTGATTGTCCGCTGCTTACTACCGTCGTGTTCGATCAAAGTGCCGTCCGTGTCGTTGAATCGCGAGCTTTTGTGAACTTGCCGAATCTTGAATCCATGTGAGTTGTAAAAGTTGACTGCTCCACGTCAAGAAGAGACTAACGAGACGTTACGACGTGAGCCTTCTAGTTCTTTACGCCAGAACAATGTATCGGCTGTCCGCGGCGATGCGTTTGTCGGTTTAACGGCGTTGCATACGCTGGACGCAAGCTACAACAAGCTGACTTCGGTCCCGACTGGTTTGCTTATGGCGTCGTCCTCGTGGAAAGCACTAGACTTTTCGCATAATAACATTTTGGACGTGCCGACTGGTATTCGAAGGGCTGTTGCGAAAGGCTACATGTAAGTGAGTATCGTGGAAACAAGCTGTGCGAATTGTTCTTGACTTAGCTGTGGACACAGCTCTTTTGACTACAATGCATTGATCGAAATTGACGAGGAGTCCATGGCTGGCGCCTCGAAGATCAACGAACTTGGACTTGCGTCGAACAGCATTTTCACGATCAAATCCAGAGCATTTGCGGGGATGTCGGCCCTGAGAACATTGTCAGATGAACAGGCAGAGGCGTGAATTTTCGATGTGAGATAAAGCCATGAGTAGGTTTTTGACAAATTGTTGTTACACCCCACAGGAACTTGAGCGACAACGTCATCTCGGTCATTGATGAAGATGCATTTGAAGACGTAGATGGGCTCAAGAACCTCATGCTGGACACGAATAACATCCATCGGCTCACACTGTCGTCGTTTCCGACGAATCTTGAGCGCCTAGAGCTGCAAAACAACATGATGGACTTCATGCCCGACTTCCCTGATAACTTCGAGGCGTCACGTCTAATACATTTGTACGTAATGACTTTTCTTGGCCTTTGGCGCTCCGCAGAGTTAACGGTGCCGGTTTGTGTGATTGTAGAAATCTGAGCCGTAACTACCTATGGTCGATCTCGACAAATGATGCGCTCACTCCATATACCGGACTCGTGACGTTGTACGTTCGATTGCGTAGGTTGCTTTGCTAAACTACATAGCTGATATGTGTTGCAAACGGTGGTGGACAAACCGTCGCAGGGACCTGAGTAACAACCGTGTCGTCAACTTCAGCGCTGCCGTGTTTGACCCGATCATGGAGAGTATCGAGTCAATGTACGTACGTAGTAGCTTAAGCGTGCGGCTCGACAGTTTTCGATGACGAGTTTTGCTTTTACAGGAACTTCGACTCGAACCTCATCACATCCATTCCCAGCACTAATTTCATAGCCTTGGTGAAAAAGTTGCGCACGAACGTGTAAGAATCTAGAAGGCGTATTTGTTAACGCCATATTGGCTGTCGCTGGATTTTTTATCTGAAACTCACTATGTGTTTGGCCACCTCTTATCTTTAGCACTCTATCCGACAATCCTGGTATCGGTTGGTCCTCCGACGTTCAGATGCGAGCTGATTGTCCAAACGGCAGTGTCTTTGAGGAGCTCAATCTGTTATCTTCTTCAAATATGGAATCCGCCAATCGTGCGAACCTGTTTGGCTGTATCCAGTGCGTTGCAGGGACGTTTCATGACAATGTCACAGGAACTTGTATGAATTGCGGTCAAGTATCGTCTCGTGCTTACTCCGATGAAGATGGTGCAACACAGTGCCTGTACTGCCCGTACTCGTCAGACCTGGCGTCTGACCGCACGACGTGCATAGAGTTTGAGTGTAATATTTCGTGCTGGCTGACGCTGTCGATAGGAATTGCAATGCCCGCGGTGATTTTTGGCAGCAAGCTTTTGCTATATCTGATCATGAGAAGCTCAAAGCGCAAGCGCAAAATGAACATCACGGAGCAAGAGGCGCTGAACGCCTGGCGTATGGGACTCATGATGTATCAGCTAGCTGATTCCATAAGCCCGACTGGATCGCTACATGACGATGATGTCGATGAGGAAGCGTCCGAACACGGCAAATCGCCAATACGCATTTACGATCTCCCGGACGAAACGAAGGACCTTGTGTTGAGCACTCTTCGAGATTACTTCCAGATCCGGAAAGAAAAACGTTGGTGCGCGCTTTCTCTGGACAAGCGAGAGGCAAGAAGCGAGTGGAATGATGTTGAGTGGGAGACATTCCACATGCACCGGATTCTTAGCCGCAGTTATCACGGCGAGGTCTTCTTAGGAGACTACTGCGGTACGCAAGTGGTTGTGAAGCGCATGATGACACTCCGCTTTGAGGTCAAAGGACTCGCCGACACTATCAAAGATGTGGAGCTGGTGAGCTCGTTACATCATCCAAATATTGTTACTTGTCTCGGCACCATGTGGTCGAATCCCGAGTATCTGTGTGTAATTTCCGAATACGTAAAAGGGGGTGACCTGGCAGCTATACTCGAGGTGGACGGACTAAGCCACCTTCACCGGTACACCTCGTCGCCAACCCGCATGTCAGCATCCTCACAATTGGAGAGTATATGGAGGAAGAATGAGGAGTCCGCATTATCCCACGGTATGGTGATAGAAGTGTCGAAGTCACTGCTCACAGTACGCTTACAGATGATTTTGGATGTTTGCAAGGCGCTCGCGTACATGCACAGTATGTCTATTTCTCATAGCGACCTGCGGAGTCGAAATATCATGGTGACGGAAACGTATCGATGCAAAATTGATGGCACTCGTCACCACAGCCGAGATGACAAACATTACGCGACGCGTGTCCTTCTCGTTGAAGGTCAGGCAAGTCAGGAATCCGATTCGGATGAGAAGGACGCCGAGGACGGGGTGAACTTGGAAGGCGTTTGCTTTCTTCGGCCAACGAAAAGGGAGTACCTAAAACAGGTTGGCTCATCATTGCCGCTCGTGGCACCGGAGATGCAGCATCACCACTCACGACACGTTCACGTCGATGTATACAGCGTTGGAATTTTGCTGTTGGAGTTGTGGTTTGGCAAGTACGTTACTTTTCGGAACGTCGGACCAAACGATGAGCGCGAGGCCCGAAGTCGAACGAATAAATTGCGGCTTGCTGTCGATACCACCAGTGAAGCAGGAAGCGAGATTGCTGGTGAAGAAGATTTGGCTTTACCTGGAACGTTCGGTACAATGCAGAAGTACGAAAAACACCACGCTGCAGTGCATCGCTTTGTCAACAAGTTACGTGTCCGTGCGAAAACGGACAGTACCGATGCGGAACTAGGCAACAGCAACTGTGGTAGTACTTCAGCGAGTGCACCGATGTATCCTGTTGATTTGCTGACGACATCGCTTACCTCATCAAGTGCCACGACTGACAAAGTGGCTGCAGCTGTTGTGGACTGTCTACAAAGCGATCCAAGGAAGAGGCCGACCGCCAACAAGCTCGTGAACCTGTTCCAGTGTCTTCTCGACGAGATACGTGCTTCATAGTTCCACTGAATGTACAACTTGCTCGTCGAAACATCCGTTTGTCATATCGTTGTGACTAGTGCATCTTCTGGTCAGCTGCATGGTCACTGAAGAAAAGCGAAGATCAAGATGTGTGACACTGGTGTTGCGACAGCTAATCAAGGCCGTGTTCTTGCTTGGAACGGGTGTCAATGGCTGGGATGTCTACGAGCAACTATCAACCGGATCCGGGCTGTGCTGTACAGCTTACTTACTTCGCTTTTCCGTGGAAGCTTTGTTTAAGTGCAGCACATTCAGCAAGACACTCCGTTCAGCGAGTGTTTGATCGCATGCAGTCAGTCCTATCGTCCACGTTTACCCGAATGTCGTTCGGCCGTGTGATTTGTCCAGGTCGGGTGAAGATTTGAGGCGGATGGTATCACTTGTCTCGTGCGAACGTTGTGTCGGGATGTGATGATGTATATGTGGATGGACGGCGCCAAGTATAAGAAGCAACTTGAAACTCTGAATGGAGGATGCATCCGTGCATTACTCGCTTGCCGAGACAACTCTCGTCTCACTGATTACCATCAAACACAATCTCTGCGCCGCATGTGCATGGTCACGCTATGTTTTGTTATCCGCAGCTATCAATGATGCTGTCATTCTGCGGGTCCTTGACGTGAGGCTGGTTATGGGCGCCTCACTGCCTGCCATGGTTGACTGACGGGAACAAAGGCAGATGTGTATTTGGCTTGGAGCTTGATTATCGACTTCTTCTACCGAGCCAAGAAGATGATATATACGGAGAACCGTGGCCTGACCGATCATACCAGTGCACTGCCGATCCACTACGACCATCAAGTAGCTGGTACAGACCAATTTCGTTCGTCAACTCTCATGGAGCGGCCAGTGGATAGCGATTGCACCACCCTTCCGCTAGACGAAGCAAGCAATGGTCAAGTTTTGTTGAGATCATGCGGCGAGGAACTACGTGCTAGCAGCGCGAACTCTTTGGTATTTCTGTGTGTCACTTGGTTGAAAGCGAAACATTTATCCGGACTGAAGAGCATCCAAGCAAAAGTTTGGCCGCAAGGAAAAAGACTGTTGTTCCATAGCAGCTTTGCCAGGTACTTGTCGCCTCTTTCGCGTGCCAACATATTCGACTCAACCGCATGAGAGCTTGTGGTACAGCTTCATTTCGAGGTCACTTGAGTGAACGTCTTTGCGTTGGAGCCGTCTCCAAAAAAGATGAAGTGATGGAGAAAGAGCATTTTTGCCTCCACTCTTGCCTTGGGCTCACAAGACATGAAAGGCCAATAGAAGGGAACTCACAGTTTCCAGCTGTGGTCTAGTGCAGCTGCATCACTTCTAGACTGTCGTCATCTGTCGTCTGACAGTGCGCACGCAATTTGCATTGTCCGATCGATCGATCCATCGTGTGCGATCACTGGAACAACCGGTCAAAGAATCGTGCATACGCTGAACGTGCAATCGTCGTCAGGACGATGCTAACCAGACGCGTTCATCGACACATTACATTCACATTGGATCAACAAAAAGGAGGCTCTCGTCACGCCCACGGTCGAAAGCTCGCGTTTGAATACCGATTTCCCTGGGTGTAGAAGGCTGCGTAAAGAACACCAATCCAAACGCTGGCATGACATCGAGTTTGTAGGAACAACGTACTTTCGGTTGGTCTCGCCCGGCGTAGATCGACAGACCTGTCCAACGACCATAATGCAATGCTTTCTCGGTGTACGTGGGATATGCACCAGCGGCCGATGTTCCAGAGGTACGATCAATGCGTTTGCCACAAGTGTATCTTCCTCTATATCGCCTCCCAGCCATCTCTGTTTTCGGTATTCGTCGGGTTGATGCGTCACTTGGCACTTGCAAGGTGCACATACAGCAAAACATGCAAAGTATCGCCGACTTCTGTGAGACGCCTGGCGTTAGCGCGTCGTTTAATGATCTGTAGCTGTCTTTACATAGGACAGTCGACCTCTATGACGCACTCGTTTTTCCTATGAAAGAGCAGACCAACTATCTTCAGCTTGCGGTTGCGGGTGCTTGCCCATTGACACTAAGTGCTCCAAGTAAAGAAGACGTGTTGTACGAACCTGAGGACGGTGCAGCGAATCCGACATGCTGTTGCTCCACTCGATTTGACAATACCAACTGCTGCCCCCTCTGTACAGAAACGGCACGTTCGGTGCTCATGGGCGTTCTGCGCTCTGTTGTTGGTGCCGTGTAATCAAACAAACTCTTACGCCTCTAGTCCGCAGACAAGAGGCGTCTCTCAGCATCCACGCTAGATATAATCTGGCCTCGTGGTCCGACTACGACGGAGATGCAAAGGCTCTATCTGCCGCCAACTGACGCCAGTACTTGACTCATCCCGCTCAGTTCTCACTGAGGCAAACGCATGGCTATGTGCGGACAGGGTCGGGTCAGCCACCCTTTTATCCGACACCATCAGGAAACAGCGATTAATTTGTCGCTGCGCGTGCCCTGATCCACTCTCGAAAAACATACACCCGCACGTGGCATGCAGGTGATCGTGCGCAAAAAACAGCGCGCACATGGCTGGCTAGGCTTGGTTTTATCCTCACAACTCTGCAGACTCCATCCCTGACCTCGCAGAAAGTATCGTGACCGAACCGCAAGGGATGGGCACAGACTGAACCCTGGATAGTCCACACGTTGCGGCCACGGGGAATCACGCTTCGCTTTGTTCAGTCCGCAACTTGCCAAGCAGCAATCAAGCGCAGTCATGTGTCAGCTCGGCCACGTGTTCGTAACTTTCGTAGCCTTATTAGGGAGAGAGGTGATATCAAAAAGCACGAGCGACCAATACACCAACGATACTGCGCTCGGCTTGCCCAGTTATTCGCCTCGTCTAGAGATGCCGGCGCCCTTCAAGCCGGTCCTTGTACGACCAGACAACTTTCTGGATGACGATTTTGATCGAAACGACGAAGAGAGGGTCCGTCCTCCATTAACAAGTCTACAGCCACGTCTGCAACATCTAAGCAGATACGTGCACGCTGCGAACGAGAACTGGAGTCTTCAGCTACTCTCACGTCTGAAAGATCTAAGCAAGTACGTGCACACTACGGACAGTACTTCGGGTCGTCAGCTCTTCCCACGTCTGGAAAATCTAAGCAAATACGTGCTCGCTGCGGACAGTACCTTGAGTCGTCAGCTACACCCACAAGACATTATTAAGAACCTGGGTCTCTCAGCTAGTCTGGATAAGGAGCAAGACGGTGAACGGCTTTTGGTTTGGTTTGCGTGCGTCATGGTATACCGACGTCGAGGGAATCACTATGGCGACAAGGACATCATTGATAATCTGGCGACTGATGCGAACAAAGGCAACTTTGCGCGACTTCTCCATCATTTTCGGGGCCACCCCGCCATGATCAGTTTCACTGACAATTTGCAGCGAGAGCTTGCCACGAAGTACCCGGATACGTTGGACACGATTATCCATTTATGGCTGGACTCCGGATTGAAACCTGACGAAGTCTTCCCACTCTTGCCTATTGCAGCTATCGCTCCGTTTACACTTAACGACAAAACGATTCATTTAACCATCATTGAGAACCTGTCAATATGGATGCATTATGTTGGTGAATTCCGAGCAAGATACGGGGTCTACAGTGATAAAGATGTCGTGATGGTGCTGGTGAAAAACAGAGGAGAAGACGAGACTATGGCGTTTCTCCACGGGATACGAGGCATCGTCTACTTCAAGGTATACAGTACTAGCTTGATGGAAGCGCTGGTCTCGACATACCCACGGACTATTCCGAAGATAGTAACGATATGGCTGAAGTCGAACATAAGCCCTTTCGAAGTCTATAAGATGATGCCCATTGCAGCGGTGAAGGAAATTGGTTTCGGCTCCGATATTATTGCGGCTGCAATCGCGTTCAAGTGGTTTCTGGGGTATGTGCGGATCTTCCGAGCTACCAGAAACAATGAATTTAGCATCCATTCCGTCGTTGGGCTATTGCTGAAAGGAAGCAGAACTAAACTGGGCGTGACAAACGTGCTCAAACAGATTGGGAAAGACAAAAAATGGAAAGGATTTATAAAAGAGGTGCTGGAAGCGATGGAGGACAGCAGGTGGTACAACAAGCACTGACGCTCAGTGTGCGGCCGAGGTTGAATTTAGTCTTCAAGCAGGTATCATATGGTGGATATCGTATTGGCACCGTATGACAGTATCGTGTCATGCTCGAGCAGGCAGGATCTTCAACTTCTTTGTCGATCTCATACAATGACCAAAGCACGGAGATACTACGGATTTCGGGATTATGCTGTGGGGTTGATGGAGTGATTGGTCTGTTGAGGATCAACATCGATGATGGAGCTATCCGGTTTTTGTTTTTGGCCCGAAGTTGATTACGACATGGAGATCCGCGCAAACTCATCACAAAGCGATTTGAACTTGGTAAATGCAATATACAGTCTTTTTTTCACTACCTTTGTGCGTATTATTTCCAGAATAGAACGTGTACTACCAACTCCTGCTTAAAAAATGTCTGTATCCAAAGAAAAGGAGTAGAGACCAAAGAGTAATAACCTACTCGTTTGTTTCGCACCCACGACTGTTATAATGGGTACACTTCGTACCAGATAACTGGTAAGCCCTCATGCCGAACTTTACAGTACAAGAGTGTGTGCTCCCAAACTTTACGTACACGGTGCGTGCAGAGGAAGTGAAGAATCTGAGCAAGAGTGACTCAGACCGAAAAAAGTAAAACTGAATATTTAGTATAGTTAAGCCTCGTCAAGAAAATGCTCTATCTTATTTACACGATATCAAACGACAAGCTTTCGATGTAGAATCTCGGTCATCACCCATTGCGCGCGTTCAGCAGCGTTTGGTGTTTTAATTGGTTGATTAATTGGCCTGTATCAAATGATAGTAAAGCGGCGCCAAATATTACCCCCAAAGGTAACATTCTGACAAGATCGACTTACAAAAAGCAAAAAAGTGTCACATAGCATTTTTACTACATCACTACAGTTCGTGCCAATGACACGTATGGGCACAACTTGCAACAACAGTGGTCTGCTAGCAAAGCGTTCAGTTCGATATAGCCCGAGTAATTATTGTTACGGGGTGAGCCTATTACACGACATTGACACCAAATGAGGTCAATGATAAATTCATCCTTCCGATCTATTTCAACAATACCTACTTTGCTGAGCAATATTGAAATAAATAACTCCTTTGAAGGTAAAAAAGAACCTGCTCCACTAATTGGCCGATAAAGACCATTATAACAAGCAATGTAAACAACCATCGCTACTAGACGCGCACAAGGAGTGGTAAGCGAGTAGCTACATTAGGCATCAAAATAGTGTTATGTGCTAAGAGCAATACAAAATTGACTACTATGGAAGGCTTCATGTAACGGGGCAGCCCGTTACATGGAATTGTCACTTTAAGGAAAGTGACAATAAAGAATATAAAGATGGATATTCTTTAAACAATATCACCAAAGTGGTGATATTGAAGGGTCGACCAAAGAGTCTGTTCATTGGTTGATATCTTGATGATATCAACCCACCAATCGCCGCAAGACGCGCGCAATGAGTGGTGACGAGACGTCACCATACATCCAGTTATATTAGTATAGTTAAGCTAAGTCAAACAGAGAGACAGTAGTTAAAAGAATTAATTATATTAATATAACAGTTCTGCTTTTACCTTACCTATGCTTCCTCGCTTGCCTCGTGTACGTCTGTCGGGGCACCGATACCCTTGCGTTAAGTTCACGCAAGGGTGTGCCCCGTTACACCTGGTAGCACTTTGTAGTCCTTCCAAGGACCACAACATCCAACATGAACATGTTGGATGAAGAAGAAACCTTTCACGCCACGCGTGAAGGGTTTACCCATTTGAGTGATATCGAATGGGGTGCGGTAGAACGAATGAGTTCTACCGTAGGCGAACTCGCCATTAGCGCCATGTTGGAGTCTCTAGACAGAGACCAACAACATGCCGCTATCGCCAAGTTCATTCAAAATGAGCTTGTCGCCGAAAGGAAGAAAGTAGCCTTGCTTCACCAGCAAGGCTCTCAACAGACCGAGCAGTTGAGAGAACTCGGTGCTCAACAGAAAGAGCTGTTGAGACAGCAGCAATTCCATGCTGATGTGGGCGGAACGGCGCATGCGCGTCGTCCCGAGGTCATGAAAGTTGACATCTCCAAGTACAGTGGAGTCCCGGAGGACTCCCTGTTACTGTGGTTTGTCGAACTCGACAGAGCCTTAAGGGCTCGTCGCGTCGAAGATGAGCAAATGAAACTCACATTTGCTCAGACCCACTTGGCAGGGCGTGCCAAAACTTGGTCCCTGGGACTCGAGAGTAGCGACCGAAATGTGTTTAGGTCGCTAGATGACTTCAAGTCCCGGCTCAGAAAAACGTTTGAGCCGCCATGGGCTTAGTTCAGGGCTCGTTCAGAGCTCCTGAAACTCAAGCAGGGTAAGCGTGATGTGCACGCTTACGCACAACATACACGACTCCTTTCGAGTAGTATAACTGCTAACCCAGTCCATGAACACACGTTGATTACGGTGTTCATGCAAGGGCTCGCAGAAGGGCCCGTCAGGAGCCACCTGTTCCGCCTTGAGCTGAATACGCTGGAAGAGGCAATATCAGCCGCGGAACAGGAAGACTTTAGCATGAGACAGGCTCATGCTAGCTCAAACTCTTATCGTCCACCAAGACGACAAGAGATCGGAGGTCCAGAACCAATGGACCTCTGCTATGTTGAGAGCGAGAGACCTCGCTCTTCGAACAACAAGCGATTGCAGAGGTGCAATCGCTGTCAGAAGTTAGGGCACTACGCATACGAGTGTAGTGCTCCACGCCCAGTACCAAACAGTACTGAGATAAATGGACGACCATTTGCCAGAAAGGGCAATGGGCGTGGGTCCAGCGCTGTTGCGAAGCCGCAACAGCGAGACGGACCATCAAAAAATGGACGGGGTCAGTAGGGGCGGAGCGCCCTACTGATCCAGCAACCTCAAGAGAATTTGCAAATCTCTTGACGAAAGTTGCTCCAGATACACAATCATTGTTTGTCTCTGCACCTGGTGATGACGTTTCGCTCATCACCTTGAAGTTGGAAGCGACAAATGATTTGTCGCTTCTTGCCCTAGTAGACTGTGGGGCGTCGAACAACTTTGTTCGACGCCAGTCACTAGAAGGTCATAGGCTCAAGTTCGTTGAGCGCGACATTACACTCACAAGGATGACGGTGCGCCTTGCAACAGGCGCATCGATAACCGTTGAGAAACGTGTAGCAGGAATCCACTACACGTTAGAGGGCGAACAGTACGATGATGACTTCATCGTACTGGATCTGGATGACAAATTTGATGTCATCCTGGGATTATCTTGGCTTAGAAAGTACGAGCCAAGGGTGAGCTGGCAGCATCGAACCGTGAAGATGCCTGCCGCTTGTTCATCAGATGGGCATCCGATGAACATCTTGGAGCGTCCACAAGCGTGTGGGTGTTCTGCGAGTGAGTGCGATGGCCTCACTTGCGGTACGGTCGTTCGCACGACCGTCCAAGATCACAGTGTAGTTGATCACTACACTGTGGAGCAAGCTCCCGGCGGCTGTACAGAAGTACAGGCTGCGCCGAAGGTCCACCACTCGAATAAGTCGAGTGGACCGGGACATGGATGCATGCCTAGCGGGCAGCATCTTAGACAAAAGAAACCTGTTGCCTCCAAGGGGCAACATGGAAATCCTAGGTCGACTGGAGAGTCGACCGTAGAAGATCGGTGCCTGACTGTGGTTGCACAGCCACAGTCGGAAGACGTCGAGGGAATAAGTCCCCACGTACTTGAGGAAGGAATTCCTCAAGAGTCGCTTGCTGAGGGATCAGGCCCTCAGCAACCTGTGGAAGCAAGTTCCCAGGAAGAAACCGAGACGTTGAACGTCTTGGTCAATGACGGATCAAGCGTAGGCGCTTATACGCTTGATCTGATTGTGCCTCCGAAGTTAACTTCGGAGATAACTCAGTTGCCAACGCTAGAACCGAAACGGTTCTTGCGTGATCTGCGTAGTGGCAAAGTCAAGCAGATCTGCATACTCGTCACGGAGGATGAGTATGTGGCCGATATTCGGTCGGCAACAGTATTTGCTGAGAACGAACGGGTTCTCAGCAGCTCATCGATGGACTAAAGTGTCCTCGATGAGAAGACTCGGATTGAGCGATACACGTCTCAATCCTGGGAGTCACTTCAGGCAAATCCTTTGTATAAGGATTTGATCGAATTCAGGGATGTGTTCCCTGAATCCGTACCTTGCGAGTTGCCTAAGGACAAAGGCACTCGACACGAGATCGAGCTCAAACCGGGCTCGAAGTACTGTGTCATGAACCAGTGGCCACTGCCTCGTGAACAAGTACTAGCGATTGACAAGTTCTTTGCCGATCGCTTTGCTGCGGGCCATGTGAGGGAATCAACATCCCCTCACAGCTCTCCGACCTTCTGTGTGCGAAAGGCCACAGGAGGATGGCAGATAGTGCACGCATTCAACAAGTTGAATGCTGCAACGGTACCGGCTCAGACGCCGATACCGAGGAAGGACGTCATCATAGATGGTATGTCAAAGAGTACCATCTTTTCGTCCATGGATCTGATGGATGGATTCTATCAGATCCTCATGCGTGAACGGGACATCCCGTTCACGGCAGTGAGTACCCCCAGCGGGATGCTGTGGGAGTGGCTAGTTATGCCACAGGGGCTGAGCAATGCCCCTGCAATATTCAACAGATGTGTCACAAATCTGTTGAGACCGGTGCGAGACTTCGCACCGAGTTACTTCGACGATGTGTTCGTCCATAGCCGGGCTATGGACGGAAAGACGGACGTTGAAGTTCACAGAACTCACGTTCGTCAGGTTCTTCAACTTATGCGCAAGTATGAGTTGTACGCCAACCTCAAGAAGTGTATATTCGCGGCTAGCGAAATACCACTTCTTGGGTGCATCGTGGGTAAACACGGCGTACGCCCCGATCCCGAAAAGATCAAGGCGATCACCGACTGGCCTGTGCCAGTCGATGTCAAGGGACTAAGGAAGTTCCTTGGTATAGCGGAGTACGTGCACAAGTACTCGC